AAAATTTATAGATTTATATATAGCATTGTTCTAACATATGTGTTTTGATGCAAAATAGACTATTTATTCAAAATGTTCGAACAGATTTCGAAGTTCATTTTCAGAATTTTTTAACGCATTATATTTTTACCAAAACATTTTGATTAACTTTTTTTTTTTTTTTTTTTTCAAAAACAAGCAAGTTTTAAGAAAGGGAATCAGTAGTATAAGTGGGAAAAAAATAAACTCATTTCACTAATCTTTATTAATTGATTGTTGCAAATAAAACTGAAAACTTCAAGTGCCCGAAAACAAATGTAAACCGCTGTATAGAGATAAGAGGCAAAATGAGTGCAGTAAATTTTTGATGAACAATATAAAATTGGAATAAGTCATATTCCATGTATGGAAATTTCATAATTTTTTTAATCAAAACAAGCATTTTAAAATGTCTGTAAATTTGCATTAACACACAATAAAGAATTTCTCGAATAAGACAACCAACTAAATTTCAAATATTTTATTACAAAATTTTTGTACAAAAGATAAATATAATTTATTATATCGCTTAAATCTCATAAGCAAGCTTCCTTATAAACTAACCTGAGTGGTAAGAATACCATTTACAAAGCACATTCCATCATATAATAAATAACATATTTGTCTTATTAGAATTATCTTGTACCTCAAATCACAGTTCTTCTGAGTCGTGCTATATATTTTGTGAAGGATATAAATATTTTATTTGAAAATATATAGCAGGTCTCAAAATTCCTAAATATTTCACATTTTTTATCCTGATTTCTTATGAAAATAAATAAAGTGAATGATCAGAATGAATTATAACCCCAAATCATGAAACCTTACAATAAAAATACTCAAGCAATAATAAATACAAACATACATTACATAAATACCCCTGCTAACTCCATTTAGAAAAATGAGTGCATGAAATAATAAATAGACTATGTACATAATTAAAAATGCCAGTACTATTCAACAGTTTATGCAATAAACTGCAGTTGTACATGTTTCATGTATGCACCATTTGGTAAGAATAAGATAGAAAATAGAACATTCTGAAATATATCATTATAAAAAGTAATTAACTTTTATTTTTATTGTTGTTTGTTTAAATTTAAGCAGCATTAAAATAAACAAAATAGTCTTAAAATGTTAATACACTCTACAATTTAAAATAATACAATTACAAATATGTGTTCATTTCTTTTCATTGGTTGCTAATCATTTCTTTGAATAGAATAAATATCTGATTCATTAATTTTGAACCAAGTATTGTAAAACACTATAACTTTTCCAAAGTATTATTATGTATTTAGAATTAGAATTTATAGTATTACAAAATATTATGAAACTATCAGAGTTTAATACTAAGTGGTAAAGTATTAATAAGCATTCAGCATTATAGTAAGTTTTACAAAATATTATAAAACTATCAGAATTTAATACATTTAAAAGTTAAGATAGCTTCTTTATCTAGTGTTCTTTTTGTTGTTCTAGATTTATTGCTATACACTAATAATATAAATAACCACATAAATGTTCACAGTTTTGTATGATTTGTAACGTATATAAATCTTTAAAAAAGCATTTAAAATTTCTAAACTAAATCATTAATTCTGAATGCTGCTTTTACAAGCTTCTTTTAATTTCTCAGAATGTTAATACACGCAAAATATTAGGACCAAATCTTGAAATATAAATAAAACATTCGAACAATTAACATGTTTAGAAAATTATAAACAAACAGATGAGTGAAATACGATCACAAACAGAAACAAAAGTTACTTAAGTATTTCTTCAAAACACCATTCTTTGGCAAATTAAGTTGATTAGGCGAAGGAAATGTGAAATGTCAATAACTTAAAACAAATATCACTCGCTATAAATAATAATAATTAAAGGATGATAGTTTGCAAACAACAACAGAACAATTTAATAGATCCTAGTTCATAAAACCACACAAATTAATTCCAGGTAAGCAGTTTATTTTTTTCCTCTGTGTTCTTCAGCAAGTCATCTTGCTTTTGCCACCCGTTTCAGCGAAATTGAAAATAATGATAATAATAATATAAATAAATTAATGCCTGCCCATGAAATACTGTGATCCAAACGAACGTGTACTGGTTGTAGAGTCATCATCCAGTTTGCTTCTTTTCCTCCTTTGCCACATAATAGCCCATGCAAGAATTAATAGTAGTTGAGCGACTAAAAACATGGAGGATGCAACAATAAGACCGACGAGGTTCACACAGCTGCTTTCCTTCTTTGATTCTTCTGTAAAAACAAAATATATATATTTTTTTTCCTTTAAAATATGAATTTCGTACCCTAGACTAGTGTTTTCGAATTTTCTCATTGCGGAACCATTTAAATTGTAAAATTTTTTAGGAACAATTGAGTAAATTGCAGTTATAATAAATGACGCAAGATATGTAAAATAAACATTTAATCCAATTTTCACCGTGACTTAAATTTGTTTTCGTACACATGCATTGTTAGAATTTATTTGCATAGATTTTATATTAAATACAGAAACACAGAACTAATTTTTCTTTTGTTTTGTAATATACTGGACAGTCAAAAAAAAAAAAAAAAAACTTTGTCTTAAAAAAATCAAAAAAGTTTCAGATTTTAAATTACGTCCAAAGGGGCCTTTTTTTAATGTTTTGTGTGTTACCTTTATTGATTAAATATCATGTTCTTTGCACTTAAACCATAAAATTCATTTCAACAGCAATATCTCATTTATGATCATGTGAAATGACATTGTTTCATTATAAAGGTCGATCGTTATCACGTGTTCTTATATCACATATTCACTATTGTATGTGATTTGTTTCTCATACGTCCAGAAAATAATCAATTTTTGAAGGAAACTTTAACTGGTGAGAAGAAATGGATTGTTTACAAAAATGTCGGATGCGAGCGATCACGGAATAGAAGAGATGAACCAGCTTAAAGCACTTCAGAATTCGATATTCATAAAAAAGTGATGCTCTCTGTTTCGTGGGATTTTTTGCGGGCTAAGCTGCTTAGAATCTTCGTTTACCAGGCAATTCCAACTGATTCGAAAGTGTACTAACATCAATTCGACAAAAGGAGCGATACCATCAAAAAGCAAGGGCAAGAAATGATCAAAAGAAAATGTGCAGTGTTTTCACAACGAAAATGCTAGACCTCGCACAAGTTTGGTAAAACATTAGAAGCAGTTATACCCTGCATAGTACATGCTGCCACACCCACTATATTCTCCAGATCTGGCACACTCAGATTAATACTTGTTCCAGTTTTACAATTTTTAAGAGGTAAAACATTTACTTCAAAGGGATGTGAAAAATCACTTGGATGAGCTTTTTGTAATAAGCATGGAATCATGAGATAATAGAAAGAGGGCAAAAGGTACTGGACCAAAATGGTCATCATACATTTCAAAAAAATTTTACATATTCAAGGAATTTTTTTTTAATTACTTTCAAATCAAACACCCAATATTATCCCCCTTTTTTTTTTTTTTTTTTTTTTTTTTTTTTTTTTTTTTTTTTTGGCTTCCATCACAATGACTGGTCTATTCAGAAGTTTATACAAACCTGAATTGCGCAATAGTCAGTTAAGTACTGCGGTTTCTTTACAATTAATGTTGAATCTCGATGAGATTTGTTACAAATGACGTTAATGTTTTTCACTTTTGGGAAGTTGTTCCTGCATTACTTAGCAGCTGTTGGTCTGATATCCTTCGTTTAGGGACAAATAGTTATTTTCAGAGATAGAATACTTTCTCGTTTCTAATTAATTGATCAAACATTTAGAATAGTTATCGGCTGTGGGAAGGCCAGTTGTATATTTGTTTAGAAGTTAACATACCTTCATGTTATATTAGTTAAGGTTATAAGCAGTGATTCCAATAAACTCAGACTTGCATAGCGTTAAATTTTCCCTGCACATAATAGTTCTTAATCTAGCGTCTCACAAAATTTATAAGTTGTATTAGAGTTAGTTAAATGTCTAAAAAAAATTCTAAATGATTGAAGAGGTTCTTTTCCTAAAATTAAGCTACATCATATCCATTTCAGTACTCACCATTATTTTCGTCTCTGTTCTTCCTGTGCGGAAGTTTGTCCTCTTTCTCGAATCCAAATTTGTCCGTTATCTGAATCGTCTGAACGACCACCATGTCGTCGTCGGGCACTCTGCCTACGCTTCCTACCCCGTAGGGTGAAACATTATAGGATGATGCTCCACGCCTCTTCCTGCGGCCCATGGACATGAAATCGCGGGTTTGTCCATGGCTCTGCACGCTGCATTCCACCTAAAATTTAAATATACGATCAGGATCTCCATGATATCAAATGCATCAAACTTATGCCAGTAAGACATCCACAAAATACTTACCTTAACGCGTTAAGGGAAACCTTAGCACCATTAATTAAAGCGTGTTAATTAAAATTGCATGAAACGAATAGAATAAAGTGTAAATAAAGAATCAGTCAAGATTTTCTTTTTATCCCAAATCGGCTTTCTTTACAAAGGCCATAATTTTGCAAGTATTCTAATTTCAAAACTGTTTTTTCCCCTACATTTTTCTATAACTATCTCTGTGTCTATAAAATTTTAAGAAATTCCAGCAAAAGAAATTTGAACTTCATTAAACTGTTGGATGAGGTAACCTATTACGTGAAAAATATACGATAATTTGACTATTTTCCAGTTCGAAACCTGCATCATGAAATGCAACTCAAATATTTATATCTTCTATGCATTTTAAATTCCTCTTCCTCAGTTTTACTATTTGTAGAATAAGAAAAAATAGGTCATTTTTCAAAGTTATAAAATCGTCGTTAGCTGTTTTTCATTGCCAACAAGTAGTTTCGTACCCAACTAATTCTTTTTTTTTCTATATAATGCTATTTACTATAACAGTCTTAGCCTCTTTTTCACTGTCTTTAGCCTCTTATTTTCTAAAAAACAAATATTTGAAATATTCTTCTCTGTATCTGACTGTTTCTTGAGAACGGGGGGGGGGGGGGCAGAATCACAGAGCAACACGCTTCTGTAGGCAACATAATGACTGTTTGAATTCCTACATTCTTAGCACAGAATTTCATTTGCGTCCAATAGGTATTGTTACGAATTTTGTATATATGTAGATAATTTTAGTGAAATTGCAGTATCTTTTGTAATGTAATAGCAGATGCCTAAAAAAAGTTGAAGCTCCGTGAAAAAAATAAAATTACAGGGGCAAATCCTTTTAACATTGAGATAAATGGCTATTTCCCTTAACTGGCGATATATCGCCAAAATGGCGATGGTTTTAGCGACTAAAGTCAAAAGTCGTTAATTCGGACACCCATAATTCGGAATGATCTATGATCCGGACATCAAAACTAAAAACTTTCTGCGCATGCGCCACGTTGACATGCGCAGAGGCGTTCACGCGTGCGCGTAAGACCTTTTACGACTGCGCATATGAGTGTGCGCAAGTGCAGAATACGTTTTCGCGTGCGCGTTTTATGTATAATGAACGTATAAGCTAAAATTATTATCTATTTCAGTTAATGTTGATGATTGCGTTGTTCCTTAATTTTCGAATTGGATCCGGCTTATTATTTTTTGCAGACTGTAAGAGCAATTTTATAAAAGTAAGCTTAAACTTTCGATTATATCAAATAGAATTTCCAATATATATTTGTTAATATGTAAAGGATCTAAAGCGAAAGTATGTTTTGAAATCCGAAATCTGTTTATCAATTTCACGCTGCTCGGCGGGGGGGATCACCGCTGCGGGCGCGTAATGAATTGGAAGTTGATCTGTCAGCACTATCCTTATCTTCAGTGCAGATGTTTTTATTTTATTTGGCTTATAATTCCTTACCAAATGTAGCATTTCATCTCGATATGCTCCGTCTTTGATATGATTTAAAACAAGTTCCTTGTCATTATAATTCGCTTCCGATAGCGAAGAAAAGTGACAGAGGTTATTGAAAACAAAAAATTTCGATTGACAAATTAGTCGGTGTTCTTGACACAGCAATTATAGGACTTGAACGGCGGAACTTTGTAACTGAACAAGAAATTATGTCTGTTTAATAGAATTAAAGAGAAAGTATTATCACATGAAACGAAGCAAAACTTAAACAACTTACATTGAAAGAAATGTTTAATAAAGTAAACAAATAAATATTAAGCTTTTTCTTTTTGCAAATTTTGATACCCTTTAGATGATAATTGTTCTTTATTTCATAAATTACGGTTTCATATTTTTAATTTTAGAATTTCTGCATGCCATCTTACGAGATTTAAACTGATGATCTATAATCCGGAAAAATCGATAATCCGGAATCGCTGAAGTCCCGACGAGTCCGAATTAACGACTTTTGACTGTAATATTTTCGTCAAATTTGGTGAGAACTCGCCAAAATTCTCCAAACTTGGCGACCATTTGCCAACATTTTGGTCTGATCTCTGTACAACTGTAACAGGTACTGTAATTGATCGCTATATGTAACTGTATCTGGCCCAAATGTAATTTTAACCGTATATGCCTTCCAGTAACTTCTAGAAATGAAATAAAAAAACTCTCGGCGGCCGGGTGAAAGTTCTCTAAGACCGGAGAGAGCAGCAGGTCACAATTTTTAGTTCACAGGTGACTTCGGAGTATAAAGAGATCTCCGTGCGAGCTTTGTTCTTTAGATGCTTTTAGTCTCTCTGGATCTTTCTGAAGTGTACATTGTTAAACGAAGGAATATCGATGCTGTCCTAGTAAATATTACGCAAACAGTAAAATAGCTAGAGTGAATAGGGCGGTCCGCCCCGGGAGGCATATCAACACGTCTTAAAATTCCTATCGACATGGTCCAAAAAGTGATGCGACTTGAGAAGTATTAAACAAATGGTAGAGAATACTTGAAAAAAAAATTTTTTTAAATAAGCAGGAAACTGAATAGAGACATGGTACTATTAGAATAAACGACATCGTATATCCCACAAGTCTGTAAAAAAATAATTATTTGAAATACATTTATACATTTATTATTTGGTACTGGGTTCATTCTCAAAATTATCAAATTCCAGTGGCCAATCATTCTCTTGTTTTCGAGAGATGACGAAAAGATAACTTAGGCCTTTTTAAGATATGACTGAAATGTAACTTACGCCTAAGATATGACGAAAAAGTAACTTACTCTGTTTATAACAATTTTTGCTGAAGAATGAATCATCGATCAAAGGTGGATTGAGCTATCTGAAATTTGGAAAATTACCCGAGGCGCAGGTGCCTGCGATGTTGTTCTATTACTTGATATCGATGGTTTAAATAAGGTGAAACATTTATTGTAATTGTAGAATTAATGCTGCAATAAACGGTAAACACACAAAAAGACTAAATGACACTCTAAAATATCAAGGGAAAAAAAAAAAAAAAAAAAAAACTAATGGTAAATAGTATTAAATTCAATGTCTGAATCTCCTCGTCGCAAATTCATTATTCTTGGATCTAATTCTTTACTCCAATGCATAAAAGTAGAGAATTTTCATATCCCGGATGCTTTCATAAAATGGTATAAAGATGCCGGCACCTTTCTTCAAGTAAGCAACTATTCGCCAAGGCCTTCATAGGGGTGTCCCGACAGTCTTGATGAGCGCTGCATTCTTCATGATACCAAACTTCACAGGGTGCTGGCCTATTTGTACCTTTATGCCAGGACACTTTGTGTTTTGGTGAATGAAGATCGATTTGAAAAAGGTGCTGGCACCATTGTACAAATTGGTGGCTGTTCGCCAAGGTTAAGACTTTTACTTTGTTCGCCTCACCGTTCATCGAGGCTCAGCGGTGCCGCGACTCATTTAGGACTGAATCATGGTACTGCTGTGCTTTGACGAACAGCGGACAGCTTGAAACTACTGGCACCTTTCCAAGTTGCCCGCTTATCGATTTATTTTCATCTTTATTTAAGAACAACGGCACCCTTTTTTACCAATTAAAGCACTTCCCCGCTAGAAACAAATGATAACCTCCTAGCATACTTAGTTCTTTCTGTTGTACTTGAAATACACTGTGCGAGTACTTAAGTCTTCGTGTTTTTCTAAACCGATATCTTTAGTCGATAAGGTGGTAGCTGTTTGCTCCTTCTGCTGGAGAAATAATAAATTCTTACTTATCGTTTTGTCTTACCGGTTCACAGCTGGGCAGGCAAGGTGTTACCAAGGCTTTGAATTGGACGATGTCTGATGTCGGGAACTTAAAAGCTTCGAAGGGGGCCAGTAATGTCTTACCCGAATTGGCCGCTTTACCTAGACTTCCCATGATCGTGACGTCAGTCGGACATCTGAAATATACAATACAATTTTTAAGTTATTCTGCTGAAGCAGTACATAAATGTGATGATATGGTCTTCAAACTGTGTTTCGCGGAACCTTCGGGTTCCAAGCATCTCCTCTAAGGATACCCTAGGTCAACATCAAAATTTGAAAACATTTTTTAATGCCACGTGGACTTCGAAGCCAACCATTTTATCCAATTAATGAAACAGTATATTTCACGCCTATTGTTATTTTTAGCTGAAATAATATAAAATAATAATTAGGCTTTTTATGAGTGAAATTGTTAGGAAATAACGATTTTTTCCCATCTTTCGCATAAAGTGATATATTGCATTGAGCACTGGTATATATATATATATTTGAAAGGGTGGTTAAGATTTCAAAAAAGAAAGACATCTGATGTGACACCACATGAGTTCCTTGTACGGCGCATTAAATAGTACAATTTTTCTTCCTGAACTTCACTCCTGAAATCATTGATTAACCCATTAACCGATCTCTCGAGTTAAATTAGAGTAACATCAAAAATAACAAATTTTAAAATTAAATATCCCGGTCAATTTTTGTCGGACGGGAGTCAAATTCTTTACATTTTAATTTTTTTCATTACGGATGTAAAATTTTCCCAAATATTTGTATAGGAACTGGAAGATCGCATTAAAAATTAGATCTTGCTATTTGCCGAAAATTAATTTTTTTTTTTAAATTTGACATTGCGAAAATATAAATATTTTCGTCATTTGAAACATTTCTGTAATTATAATTATATGGCTGTGACCAAGGATTGCGAAAACAGAGGCCGGGTAAGCCGGATAAAGGGGAAGTGCACAGCTTCATGTTATAGCAGTCCCACATACAAAGTTTCAACTTTCTACAGTTAATCGTTTTCGAATTATGCTAGATACATATATACATACATACGTAAGTTCGGACATCCATTTAAAAAAAAATATTTTGAATCCCTTTTAACCCTTTGCGGCACAGTGTATCCGGTCTGGAAACACCTAAAAATTTCCTTCTGTACGCACAGAAAAATTGAATGAAAAAGGATTTGAAGGTTACTATAGGTTACTCTGAACCTTCTTTATTTATAGTAGATGGTAGCTCAACACAAACCAGTCCATATATTTTAGCCATGTTAGTTTTTAAGACCTTCATTTTTCAAAGAAATCTTCCAGATTTTTTTAGGGTATAAAAGGAATTGTTTGAAAAGAAATTTCTACGTTATTTTTTTGGCTGTATGCTAATCTCCTTATTCTATATTAGTTTTAAATTTTTACCTTGAAATCTTGCCTAAAAGCAAACGGCGTACCCTAGGTGTGCCCAGAACGGGCTCACCGATAATCTAGGACAACTGAGAGTCTGTATTCTTTGTTTCTCCGCATCTCATCGGTCAGTTCATTGACAACAATGCTCGTTTCAGCGCTCTTTTCGAAGCTCTATTCAATCAGTGTGCCACTCACAGAATTAAAACGATATGATTATGCTGACTCACAGAATTAAAACGATACGAGTGTGCTGACGATAGATTTGAGCACACTCACAGAATTAAAACGATAAGTGCCATCTTCACAAAATTTTACTTGTGTACTCCTCTAGGCCTAATTAGGCTGCCTACCTTTTTTTTTTTTTTTTTTATCATAACTCCGACTTTAAAAAGTAGCGTGCTGGAAAGGGTTAAATAGGCCCACCAGCGGCCGAGCGGTAAAGTCCCTGAACACTGGTAGTTCGGTCCGAGGCTCGAATCTCACGAACGGACTGGCTGCATGGGCGCTTTCGTGGCGTTCCCTCATGTGTAATGTGTTGATAGGAGCTAGTTTGTCTTAGAAAGTCCTCCACGAAGGCATTCCATCCTACCGTGTAGTTCCTTAGGGCGGAACGCTTAAATAATAATAAAAAAAAAATCCCTATTAAATCCATTTTACAATCTGTTTTGGAAAAAAGAGTTTTTCTGTTTATTTCTATATACTAGCCGCTTGCGTGGCGTTATTACAAAACCTTAGAGTAGTTATTACAAAAAGAAAAATATGTATAATGAGTTTAGTAAATGTCATTTCACTGATACAGTATATAATACTAATAACAGGGAGGAAGAACTGCTTTTATTGCTTTTAAATTATTTAATTTCTTAATCCATAACAGGCCGATTAAATCTGAAAAAAAAAATTAAATATCTTATCCTTTGCGGAATGGCAATACAACTGGTGCGTGGAAGATAAAAATGTGATGACTAATTCTTACTTAATAACTGAACGCTTTTACTAAATTTGAAAGTCTTACGGTTTGCCGAATGGCAACATTTAAATTGTTTAGTTTTCTGATTAAATTTGAAACATAAATATCTGACATTTTACCGGTTTGCCGAAAGGCAACAGTTTGGCGCGTTGGAGATAAAAATGTTTATTTTGAACAGTGCTGCCACTTTTCTTTGTACATCTCTGAATTTGTTAAACAAAAATTTATTGAATTGGCACAAAATATGAAATACATGATAAAAATAATTGCTGTAGTTGCCGCCGTTTTCCTACATTGCGAGAAATATACATGCATACATGCAAACATGCAGATTCTTTATTATTTAATAATAAAAATAACAAAGCGAGAAGTTAAGTAGTTAATTGGTAGAGAAAAGTGACATTTTGGTTGTGACCCAGTACCCGACACTGGTAGACAAATGTACATTTAAAGTGGAAGATTCTCACTTTACTTGATGTCTCAACATAAGAACGACCATGCGGCGCTCGCTATTTGAAAATATTATTAGGGACCCTTTGAAACGCTATGCTCATATCTGCCTCTGGTAGTAGAAAATTCACCTTGGCTTCTTGAAGCCTTCAGAAAAGGGAATCGGTGATTTTCAATTCATCAGGAATTCGTTACCTGAAGGGCTGACAGTAAACTCAGCATTTCTGCAGACTGAAATAACAGACCGACTTCCGAAAAAAATTCAACGCATTGGGCCAGAATAGGCAAGATCAGGTCACTGACAAACGTTGCATAATGCCCCTTGCACCATTCAACTATCCTCGGGCGCTTATTGCAAAGAATCTGCAATTGTTCTCAGTCACCAACAGGGTCTGGTAATTGTTGAACACATTTCATTGCCTAAAGCAAAATCACATCTTGTATGGAATTCAAGACTTTATGTCTTCAATGAATCCTTGAGACCATTTCATAACATGCTCCGTCATAAAGGGCCAACACCTTTATGATGGGCACCTTTATGACTATTTTATCGGTCAGTGTTCAGAAATACAAAAGTCTTCATAACAGTTCCTCGGTATTTACGTGACCTCAGATGACCTCATCCTTAAGAAGATCCATTTCTAAGTTGTAATATGCAACCTTCATAAAAATGCACGAGCTTTTATATCGCCATGCAAACAAAATCTTAATTTGCAACTTTAATCAGCAAAGCAAGCAAAGACTAAGATACTTGCCTTGTAACACAGAGTGGCAAAATATGAAATATCTTTGTATGAAAAGTAATGAAGGGAATTCAAAATGTCATTCAAGCCTACCATATTGTAACAAATAAGTTAATTTTAATTTCTTACCTTTCGGAAGAAAATTTGTTTTCTGTAAGAAAAGTCTGATAAATTTTGTTTCGTACACTTTCATTTTTCTTCGTGTATTACGAATAAAATATTTTTAAGGGCGCTGTTTCATTATTTTTTCTTTAAGTGACTTTTGTATTTTTGCGGACTGAACGACTATTAAATAGCAGCCTTATCATGAACTTTTTTCATACTTTGTCTAAAGAGCATCTGTCATTCTATAGAATGCATAGGTATTATATACAATGAATAAATAAAGCACTCGTGTATAATAATTCTCATATTTCATACTTTGCCTAAAGATGCCAAATATTCTATAGAATTCATTTACTTTGCCGGTAACAGATATTGCACGTAAACGAAGCACTGCACATAAATGAAATGAATATGAAATCAAAAGCAATTTCTCAACCTGCTGTAACATCTCTGATCTTTTTTTAGTTTTAACTTTCTTTTTGCTTATTACGTGCTACACGGAAAAGGAGGGATGTCCCATGGAGGTCTTTTTAAGGGAAACTGGTTCGTATGCACGTTACACATGGGGAAAACCACGAAAACGCCCATACAGCCAGCCCGTTCGGAGGGACCGGAACCTCACACCGGACTACCAGCGTTCAGCGGCTTTTACCGCTCGGCCGCTGATGGGCTCTGATCTTTTTTTGATAGTCGATTTTACTCCTTTGCATCGTTAGAGGATTTAATAGCGTCTTTGTTTTTGACTGGCTAAGACTATACCACTATGAAACCGCTCTTTTGTGAGAACATTTTTAGAAATTCAGAAAATTCTAACACGAAAATGAAAGAAAATTTAGCGATTCATATCTAAGTGTATGTCTCTCAAGATAAGAATCCAGAAGATCTAGAACTTGCTATTGGAAGCGTAGAATTAGAAGGAATACATGCAGAAGACTAAACAGAGTGATATGATAAACTTGATTTCCTTTAACTTCGATATGTTTTTGAATTACTTCAGCCCAAAAATCTTGTAGAAGCTCTACATCTGCAAGAGTTTCTTCGTTAGGCAGCTAATCACCTTATTCTTCAAAGCATCACTCTTATTATTGACTGCGTATATCGTTACCTGCTCTGTGTTTCAAATTTGCTTTCGCATACTGCGAAAAATTATTACAGTTTTTAACATTCCTTATATCGGTCACATCCAAGGTAGAAATCATAAATATAAGCGCAAATGGAATTCAAAACTCATTCTGAGCGATACGTTTCGCGTCCATTATTTCTAAATTTAATTTTTGCTCTTTGTACCAACTGTAAGATTTATACCGTTATTTCGACTTTCCCATTTCTAGAATACGGATTCTCTACGCAAGATACAAATTAATGTCTCTGTGATTAAAGTTTAAAGAATTTTATGTATGTACTATGTATATGTGTTTCTCGCAATGTGGAAAAACTGAACGTAGTCCTCTAGTCCTCCACTCGAGAATAGGCACATAGAAGTCCGAATTTTGAATTTCGAATTGGTATGTTTATTTATTTCATATTTTACACGAATGTAACGGTATTCTGATAGCCAAACTCAACGAATTGATAGCATTGTTTTGCCACTCGGTAAAGCATTAGATATTAATATTTCAAATTTAATCAAAAAACTCAGAGATCTGAAAGAGGTTTATTGCCTCACGGCAAAGTGTAAGAAATTTGTCTTTCAAATTTAACTAACAGACGCAGAGATCTAAAAGAAATGAGATGCCTTTCCAAAGACATAAGACGTATTTGTCTCAACAAACTCAGCGGTTTAAAAGAAATGGTTTATTTTAATTATGGCAAAGCACACTAGGGGTATCTGCCTAAGGGGGGTGGAGGACTTTCCACGGGAAACTGGTTCGTATACACGTTACACATGGGGAAAACCACGAAAACGCCCATGCAGCCAGCCCACGACCGAACTACCAGTGTTCAGCGACTTTACCACTCGGCCGCTGGTGGGCCCTTAAAAGAAATGCATTATTACTGACCGAAATTAAATACTTTTATATTCCAGAGGTCACTTTATTCGCAGTCGGCAAACTATAATATGATAGTTTTTCTTTTAAATTTAATTAATCTGTTATTGATCAACTAAGTGATTTACAAGCAATAAACGCAGTTCTTTATCTCTGCTGTTATTAATTTTTGGCTAGAACTGTGAGATTACACCAGGTAAAGTCATTAAAATCATTACATACATACATATATAAACACACACTGTATTCCGTAGTGTATTTTCCACCCTATCTTTTTAGCGCTAAGTTCAGAAATTTTAAAAATATTCTCACGATTTTCCTCTTTTTGTATTGTACAAAGTTTTTTCCTCTGATAGTTGCTTTCTTGGCAAATCGTATTCCTATGACTATTTTTATTTTTAATCAGTGTGTTCAATTTGTATTTGCATTTTTGCGCTTACATTTTAGCCATTTTATTGCCTGCTGTAGTTATTATTTGAAATGTATTTCCAGCAGTTTCTTCTGCAAGCTACCCGGACGTGCTAGGTGTTCTCAAATTTAGGAAACTTTCGAAACGTGTGATTTTACCTTACTTCTGTTATTTGCGTTCTACATCATTATAGGCTCATCTACAGCTGATGTGTTCAATCTTTCCAAATCCCGGTCTTTTGTTCATCCCCCTACTCCTTCATTCCTTCGATATCCTTCGTAGGAACTATGGCCCAAACTTGAGGTGCTCCTGGGCTTTCTCCATAAGCTAGCGTGCGGCTTAGTTACCATTAGATATTGGCTCAATATCCATCAGATATTGTAATGTTAATATTACTATGCATTCTTATCGGAATGCTGGTTTCGTTTAAAGACATAATATTTTGTTGGTTACCAATTATCCATGACTAGTTTTCATTTGTTTATGTTCTTACTCTAACCGCATCTTCAGAAATTAAATTAATCGCATAATTTTTCCCTCTTGATTTTCGGAGGATAAAATTATTTAAAAAGAGGGGTAGAATATGCGAGGGAGCATACTCTCCCCCTTTTTAAATAATCTAATATATATCTATATCTATATCTATATATATATATATATATATGTGTGGTGTGTGTGTGTGTGTGTGTGTGTGCATTTTTATAAGTTTTATTTTAAGTATAGTATATGATTATAGTATATATCTATATATATATGTGTGTGTGTGTGTGGTTTTTAAGGCATATAATATATGTATTTTACAGTATTTCAGGTAAAAAAACTATATAGTATATGTATTTAAGTATTGTATACATAGTATATGTATTTAAGGTACATATAAAATAATATATAGTATAGACATACATAGTATATGTAATAATACATACATAGTATAAGTACATATAATAATATACAACAATATAATACATAGTGTATGTATTTTAGATATAGTACAGTCAAAAGTCGTTAATCCGGACTCGTCGGGACTTCGGCGATTCCGGATTATCGATTTTTCCGGATTATAGATCATCAGTTTAAATCTCGTAAGATGGCATGCAGAAATTCTAAAATTAAAAATATGAAACCGTAATTTATGAAATAAAGAACAATTATGATCTAAAGGGTATCAAAATTTGCACAAAAAAAAAGCTTAATATTTATCTGTTTATTTTATTAAACATTTCTTTCAATGTAAGTTGTTTAAGTTGCTTCGTTTTATGTGATAATACTTTCTCTTTAATTCTATAAGCAGACATAATTTCTTGTTCAGTTACAAAGTTCCGCTGTTCAAGTCCCGCAATTGCTGTGCCGAGAATACCGACTAACTTGTCAATCGAAATTTTTTTCGTTTTCACTAACCTCTCTGTCACCTTCTTCATGTCTTTATCCATTTTTTGCAGCAATTCCACTTTTTTTTTTGATGGACATCGAAACATACTTTTCGTTTTGTAGATCCTTTTTGGGAGCTCCAGCATCGGAAATTTTATTTGACATAATCGAAAAGTTCAAGTTTACTTTTATAAATTGCTCTTACAGTCTGCAAAAAATAATAAGCCGGATCCAATTCGAAGATTAAGAAACAACGCAATCATCAACATTAACTGAAATAGATAATTAGATAATTTTAGCTTATACCGTCCGTCATACATAAAACGCGCACTCGAAAACGTATTCTGCGCTTGCGCACACGCATATGCGCAGTCGTAACGGTCTTACGCGCATGCGTAAACGCCTATGCTCATGTGTCTAACGCGGCCGCATGCGCAGAAAGTTTTTTAGCTTTGAGGTCCGAGGTTTATAGATCATTCCGGATTATGGGTGTCCGAATTAACGACTTTTGACTGTATATAATAAATATGTATACTTAAAATACACAGTATATGTATTTTAGATATAGTACATGATTAGTAGGCATCTGCATTTTTTATAATAATTAATTTATTAATAATTTATTTTTTGCTATATTTTTTAAATATTTTTTTTTAAATGCAAATTTTTATGTACAGGGCTCAAACGATCCCTATTTAGGAAAACAAGAATCTGACAGATTATTTTCTCCAGACTTTGATACTTTGGATAATTTAATTCAGAAAAAACGCTGAACGAACCTTTATAGTCTTTATCAAGCAATTTAAATGCATTGAATTTACTATTAATAAAATAAATAATGCTGATTCTTACCCCAGGCTATCGATGAGCAGAATTTCACTATTGTCAATTCCATCCATGGCGACCAGTTCACGGACAAAGATTTCGTAGGGACCTAAGGGAGGGAAAACATGCAATTAACTCCAGCTCTCAAAACTCAAGAGAAATCAAAGAACTGTAGTCCGAAAACTTCACATCAAGTTTTTATACTTTTAAGAAGAATTTCAATTAAAGCAGTCGGGGGGGAGAACTAAAATTAAAAGCGTAAAAAATTATATTTGTCATAATTTGTAGTCATATTTTGGTATTCATATTCCATATAAAAAGAATGACATTCTCTCCGATTTCGATTGTACATTATTTTTCTAATTTGAAAAAAAAAATCAGCTAAAATTAGTCATTTGCATATCAACAACGCTGCGCACAGCGCTTGCAGTTTTATCTCCATGACAGAGAAGAAACTTGTTTTCATTTTACTTAAAATATTTTATAACGTGGAACAACATAAATGTAATATTATGGACTATACTTTCCTATCGGTGAAGTAAGAAGATATTTATATTTTATTAAAAATATTATAATGTCTGAAATAGAAAGTATAGAGAAAATACAATTGCAAGGATATTGAAATAAAAAATACAAAATTTCACGATCATAACTTAATTTTAAAGATTTAAAACGTACTATATGTTTACATTTTTAAGGTGCTTAACTCTTAATCGATTAATCATTCATATTTGTCGGATAGATTGTGATTACATGTAATAAGAAACCTCATTCAGTAAGTATAACAGAGTGAAAGTTTACAATGTAATGCGTTTGTATTAGTGCCTGAGCTTTTAATATTGAAATTTTTTATTTTTAGTTGAATTTTGATCATATTCAACAATAAAGATTTAGTTTTATAGAATGACAATAGATATTCTTCTGCGAAATATTAGACTGTAATAGGAACTTTTCAAACAGTATTTGTTAATAATAAAATTCCATATGGTTGGCATTCCCAGTCTTGAATATTAGCGGTAAAGAATTCGTAAGTTATTGTTCTAGAATTCAATTGAACAGCATTATGATTTGTGGCATTCCATGTGCTGTCGCAGACGATCGTTTATCTCTTTGTTATGGTCAATTAAAACATTCTAGTTTTTCCAACAATTTTCAACATATGCACAGGCAGGTCAAGCGGCATATGCGCTATAACAGCTGCATGGTAATTTTTTTAAGTGTTTCGTTAAAATAAGGCATGCAGAAAAAGAATTAAAAAAATGGGTCAAATATACCAAAGAAAAAATTCCATGAAATGCAAACAATGCCATTTGCTCCATGTTTTAAATATAAGTATTGTCTTACACAACAGCATTAACCAATACAGTTCTTTTAAAGCATCTCATTAAGCAATCATTTCTAGGTGCCTTTGCGTCATTTTTTAAGTTAAATATTTTCAAGTTAAATTCTTTTTGTAAATTTTAATCGGGTTATTTGAGACTAGTTATATAGTATATATAAAGCTTTTTATATACTATCTCCAAGGAACAAAAATTCAACTAAAACCATATAAATTTTTAGTCGGTAATTTAATTATTATTTTTAATTAAAATTTTCAGAACCTTTATTGCTTTAAAAACATAAAAATCTATAAAGAAAAATTCTTAATCGTAAAAATACCAAAATCAAAAGTAAAAATTTTTTAAGTAATGAAAAAGAAATCATAGATTAATCAACTTTATCAAGGTCATATCAAGGCTTTTTAATTTCCTCATAATTATTTTTATTTAGAATTTATATGTATATATATATATATTGCAATAAGTAAATTGTTTCATAAGAAAAAATAAGTAAAATTAGTTGAACTGATTATTTTATTTTTTCTATATATATTGGATAAAATTAGAAAATATATGTTGATTAATGGGAATAATTTTAAATAATAATAACAATAATAAAAAAAATGCGAAGAATTAAAAACAAGGAAAGAAAATCTGAAAAGTTCCAGATTTTAATTTATGTCCAAAGGGGCGTTTTTTTAAACATTTTATGTATTACCTTTATTTATTAAAATCATGTTCTTCGCATTTAAACCATAAAACTGAGTTAGAGAGCAATTTCACAAAATAATTTTAAATTGAGAATATCTTTAGAATTTCCCATACACAGTCTCACGCGCTGGAGATATAAGAGTTTTTTTTTTTTTTTTTTTTTTTTTTTTTTTTTTTTTTGTACAACGTTTGCCATTGCTCGCTTTGAAATCTTTGAGTTTGTTAATCAAAAATTTGTTAAAGTTTTACAAAATATGGAATCGATAATAAAACATATTCCAAATTTCAAATTTGGGCTTCCAGATGCCCATATTCGCAGTAGGATTACGTCATTCAGAATTGGATGACTCTAGGTACCGCTGTTTTATCACAATGCGAGAAACATAAATACATTTATGCAGATTCTTCATTATTTAATTTCTTCACATATAATACAGGGCGATAATATTTTGCTGGCAGCAGCTTGAAAAGTGATACAGCCGTTTCAACGCAAAATCGCAAATCGAAAGCAATAGTCCTTCAGGGACAAAGCCCCTTTGGATTAATAATAATAATAAACATTTTGAAGAAGTTATGCTATTAAATTGCAAACATTATTAAATGAACAGGAGGGATTAAAAATTTTATTATACTTTTTTATTTTTAGGTTTTTAGAATCGAACTACTACATCTTGAAAACTTATTTAGTCAAAAGGGGCAATTTGCCCTGAAGGAATTTCGTTTTGGCATTTTGCGTAATAAACTTGAAAATTCTGTATCACTTTTCAAATTGTTGCCACCATATATTATCACCCTGTCTTATATTCAAAGAAACTAAATAATGAAGAATCTGCAAGAATGTATATAGTTTTCTAGCATTGTGATAAAACAACGGTACCTAGAACCATCAAAATTTCAATAACTAATCTTACATAGAATATGGGTATGTGGAAGCCCTAATTTGAATTTGAAATTTGTTTTATAATCGATTTCATATTTTGTAATACTTCAACGAATTTTTATTAAAAAACTAAACGATTTCAAAGCGAGCAATGGCAACACCGTACAGAAAAAAAAAAAAAAAAAAAATCTCCAGCGCGCGAGACTCTGTATCGGAAATTCTAAAGATATGCTCATTATAAAATTAATTTGCGATATTGCTGTTAAACTGAATTTTATAGTTTGAGTACGTAGAATATAATATTTAATAAAAAGGTAACACACAAAACGTTAAAAAAACGCCCCTTTGGACGTAATTTAAAATCTGAAACCTTTCAGATTTTTTTTTTTTTTTATCTTGAACTTTTGTGTTTTTGAATATTTTATCTCAATATCCTGTTACTATAGCAAACAGTATGAAAAAAAAATGTTCTTAAAGTTCAATGTTACGTTACATAAATTAAAAAATTCTTTAAAAAAATGTAAGGCTTTCAGAAAAAATTTAGTAAACCATAAAAAATTGTATTAACCACATTGGATAACTTTAAAGGAAGTGTTATTTTTTTCAAGGATATTTTTTAATGTAGTATTTTAAGGTATGAAAACTATTTACGTTATCCAGCAGTAAAATTTAATTTTGAACACATAGAAGAATTTGAAACATTGGAAGAACAAAAACATAATATTAAAATATTGTAATATGATTTTCGTATTAAGTCTCTAGTTTTATGTGTGGAACAGGTTTAAGTTAAGAAGTAAAGACAGTCTTGCTAATTTAAGAATTACTATCTAGAAATTAAAGAAACAGAACTTTTAAAAACCTATATTTCAAATAAGGTGTTTTAAATGGCAATGCCAAACCGTACACAGGTATTTAAAGTAATATTGTTTCAGCATGAAATGTCTCGCGTGTGGCAACAATTTTTATTTTCCCAGAATGCACAATTTATTATCTATAACCCTTACGACTAATGTACATTAGAACTGTTATTGATGTCGGGTGTTTATGAAAATTTGTAATCGGATATACTGTATCTATTGGAAACTAAGACACAGTGTTCTTTTACCCATATAAACGTTGGTAAAAGCAGAATGTGCCATAGAACTGCTGGCTTTCTAAAACAGCATATTTATGCTGTTATGAAAATTTGTAATCGGATATACTGTATCTATTGGAAACTAAGACACAGTGTTCTTTTACCCATATAAACGTTGGTAAAAGCAGAATGTGCCATAGAACTGCTGGCTTTCTAGAACAGCATATTTATGCTGTTCTAGAAAGCCACCAGTTATAATAATTAGTAAGTGAATTACTAATTATTCTAAAATAATAATTTTTCCAGATTACTAATTTAAATAATAAAGATTTAAATTCAATTTTTGCTTTAAAATCGTTCAGTTTTTTTTTTTTTTTTTTTTTTTTTTTTTTTTAAGATTGATTAAATTAAAGATTTTACGAGACTAGAATCCTCACTAGGGCGCATGGAAAATAAGTTAAAGACCTTAGGTTTCTCGTACTGGCAATATTAGCTTCGGCGCATGAATAGTACATGCATGATAGTATAACATGCATAGCGGTAAAAAAATTTCGGAAAGACAGCATCAAGGATGTTTTTGACATCAAGGGGAGAAAAAATTGAAAATAGAAAACAATGCAAATCTACTCAGCTGTTTTCATCTATAATTTCGAACCGCAGGGCAAGAGGATCACCGACTTGGGCGGCAGTGATATCATTTCCGTTCCTGTCTGTAATCATCATAGTAACATTGGGGGAGCTGACCGTCGCTGACTGGGTTCCGGCTGGATCCACTTCACTGGAAAAAAAAAAAAAAAAAAAAAAAAAAGAGACAGTCATTGCTTTGCGAATCAACTGTTTAAAGACTCTGATGGATTAATGCAAATTCTGTACCATTCTCTTTCTTACGAACGAGGTTTTTGAGCGGAAATACTATTGTGAATAGGCCTACTTTTGAAAGAATGCTGATGAAATATCAATCATTAAAGCGACAAAGCTGGAGAATTTGACAAAATTTCAGTGGAATAAGTATAAAAGTAAATAGTTTTACAACAAAGTTGTTTTCTTTATATATATGCTTTTTCATGAAGTCATTTTAAAATCAATTATGGAAAAAAAATATATATATATACCGTTCAGTAGTGAAGCGTTCTAAAATTGACTAGCTAAAGAAGTTTTATAAAACTTTCTAAACTGAAAAATCATATTTATTTATAAAAAAAATGTGAAGTCCTCAGTTTCACTTCAAAAATTTTATAAAAAAATTACTGAATCTTTAGCGGAATCTTTACAATATGAAATTTACTTTTCTTGAGCAGTACAGAATATTATGAAACTGAATTTTTTACTGAATCAGTAGAGCATTTTGCAACAACGTTTTCCGTAATAAACATTGTTCCTATCTGAACAGACAATTTTACTTTACTGAGTGGCAAAGCAACGAGTGGTAAAAGCCAAGGAGGCTAACCTCCTTGGTAAAAGCGCATTTACCAATTCAATTTAGGATAAGTGGCAATACAGTTTGTGTTTTAGATGCAGATTAGAAAGCTACGTATTAAATTCTAAAATGTGGCATTTCTGATAAATTCTTTAGAATGTTAGATATTAGATTCTAGATTATATTCGTTTGTGATATTTGTAATAATTTTTTTTAGATTCTTACACTGATACATACTTTAGAATGTCAGATATTAGACTGTATTGCAAATTTTTCCAGTGGCTCACAAAATGATCGGACACATTGAATTTTTGAATTTTTTTAATGAACATAAAACTAAAATAAATTTTAAAAAGAAAAGCTTTTATTTTAATTATTTATAAATTCAGCATTTCTTTCATAATAAATACATTTTCGAAAAGATGAAAATTAAATTCAAAAGTCAATATCGCTATTTAACGAGAAAAAATATTCTCACAAAAATAACCGAACTCTTTTAGTAACAGCCAAAAATGAAAAAAAACTTATATTGTTTTTGCTTCTTAATATCTTGCAGGATTACCATTACACTTGATCACTTGGGCATTGACTCTACAAGTTTTTTTTTTTTTTTTTTTTTTCTATTTTTGAACTTATTTTATGCCACTCCTCTTGAATAACTGCTTTCAGTTGCTTCTGTGAAGATATGCTCTGTTTTCAAATTTTCATTTCTAGTTCCTGCCAAATATGTTCAATAGGATAAAGATCTGGAAATTCGTGTGGTTCTTTAATTACTTCTGGACACTTATAGAACAGCCAGAGTCTAACATTGTACGCAGTATGCTTTGGATCATTGTCCTGGTAGAATTTAAAACTATTTTCCTTATTAAGTTCTTGTGCTGACGATGCCAAATTTCCTTTCAAGATGTCAAAGTACAACTGATCCGTAATACCATCTGTAAACTGTATATTACCAACACCGGAATGTGCCATAGATACCTCCTTCTCCGCCTGGTACTAAGTTTTACTTCCCAAATTCTTCCGTGTGTTTTCTCCACAATAGCACTCATATATCTCAGCCGAAAAGATGTTAAATTTGCTTTCATCAACAAACAACACTTTTTTCCAGTATCGGATGTCTTTTGGTTCATCGATTTTGTGAAAGCGAGTCGAAGTTTTCGGGTTTTTTTTACTGACATAAAAGTTTCTTCTTCCTACTCGCCCATGATATCCTGCAGACCTCATTACTGTTTTTACAGTTTCTGGATTTACACACATTCCATATAATTCACGAATCTCCGTAACAAGTTTAAAAACACTTAGTCTTGGATTCTTTTTAATATTTCTTAGGCTAAAGCGTTTCATTTTATCAAATAACTTGGATGGTTTTCCAGGTCTTGTTTTGTTTTGAATACGATTATGTTTCTTATAACGAATCAAAAACTGTAGAATATATAATATCAAAATCTGTAGAATTATTTAAGTAAATAGGCAGTTTTTCTTATAGATTTCTCTTTCTTTTGATGCAAATCAATAACTAATCTACAGGTTTCTAACGATGTTTCCTTTCGTAACCGAGCCATTGCAAGAAAACATTAAAGTAATGAATTAAATTAATCTTAAAAAAAATTCGAACTATAAAAGCAAACGATTTTTAGATTTTTGCTTAACTTCTTTATCCAAACTAATTCCATAAAATTCCGTGTTTTATTTTTTGCAGACAATTTTAATTAGAAATTATGAACATGTCCGATTAATTTTGTTGGTCTCTTTATTTTCCATCTCAGCCTAAAACATTATTAGTCCAAAGGCATTTCAGTCCCGAAGGACTATTGCTTTCGTTTTGGCATTTTGCGTCGGACTCATAAACGTCGGTTCACTTTTCAAACTGTTGCCACAAAATGTTCTTTGCACATGATTTACTGTTTTTACAGTTTCTGGATTTACACACATTCCATATAATTCACGAATCTCCGTAACAAGTTTAAAAACACTTAGTCTTGGATTCTTTTTAATATTTCTTAGGCTAAAGCGTTTCATTTTATCAAATAACTTGGATGGTTTTCCAGGTCTTGTTTTGTTTTGAATACGATTATGTTTCTTATAACGAATCAAAAACTGTAGAATATATAATATCAAAATCTGTAGAATTATTTAAGTAAATAGGCAGTTTTTCTTATAGATTTCTCTTTCTTTTGATGCAAATCAATAACTAATCTACAGGTTTCTAACGATGTTTCCTTTCGTAACCGAGCCATTGCAAGAAAACATTAAAGTAATGATTAAATTAATCTTAAAAAAAAAATTCGAACTATAAAAGCAAACGATTTTTAGATTTTTGCTTAACTTCTTTATCCAAACTAATTCCATAAAATTCCGTGTTTTATTTTTTGCAGACAATTTAATTAGAAATTATAACATGTCCGATTAATTTTGTTGGTCTCTTTATTTTCCATCTCAGCCTAAAACATTATTAGTCCAAAGGGATTTCAGTCCCGAAGGACTATGCTTTTCGTTTTGGCATTTGCGTCGGATCATAAACGTCGGTTCACTTTCAAACTTTTGCCACAAATGTTCTTTGCACATGATTTACTGTTTTTACAGTTCTGGATTTACACACATTCCATATAATTCCGAATCTCCGTAACAAGTTTAAAAACACTTAGTCTTGGATTCTTTTTAATATTTCTTAGGCTAAAGCGTTTCATTTTATCAAATAACTTAGATCAAAATCTGTAGAATTATTTAAGTAAATAGGCAGTTTTTCTTATAGATTTCTCTTTCTTTTGATGCAAATCAATAACTAATCTACAGGTTTCTAACGATGTTTCCTTTCGTAACCGAGCCATTGCAAGAAAACATTAAAGTAATGAATTAAATTAATCTTAAAAAAAATTCGAACTATAAAAGCAAACGATTTTTAGATTTTTGCTTAACTTCTTTATCCAAACTAATTCCATAAAATTCCGTGTTTTCTTTTTGCAGACAATTTAATTAGAAATTATGAACATGTATTATGAATTGGGCATCTGAAATCCCAAATTTGGAATTTGTTTTATTATAGATTTTATATTTTGTAAAACTTTAACGAATTTTGATTTACAAATTCAATGCTTTAAAAGCGAGAAAATGGCAACGTTATTATAAAAAAAAAAAAAAAAAAATATTTTATCTCCAGCTCGCGAGACTGTGTATATCGGAAATTCTAAAGATATGCTTAATTTAACATTATTTTGCGATATTGCTCTTGAACTGAATTTTATGGTTTAAGTGCAAAGAACATGATATTTAATAAATAAAGGTAACACTCAAAACGTTAAAAAAACGCCCCTTTGGACGTAATTTAAAATCTGAAAATTTCAGATTTTTTTTTTTTTTTTTTTAATTGCTATTTAATTTTTCCAAATTTATTTAGTACAGAGAGAGGGGTAAGAAAATATGTATTCAAAGGGAAAATATTCTTTATTATTTTATTTCAAAGCTTTTTTTCTATTACTTAAAAAATTACAGTGTCTGATCATTTTTGTGAGACATTGAGCATATGTTCGTGATATTCCTGGCAAATTCTTTAGAATGCTAGATATTAGATTCTTCATTATATTTGCTTGCGATATTTTTGATAAACGATTGATTCGATATTTCAGAATGGGATGATGAAAAAACTGCATCTATATTAACACTTAAACATCAGATGTAGAATTAGATGCGGCTAATTGCCTTAGGTTTAAAAACATTAGATTTGGAAACAGCAGCCATTTTATGTTTGCTTATGCGTTACCGAAAATCATTTATAGTCGCATTCTTTTTGTTTGAGGAAGTTTTATCCCCCGCGAGAAACACGGAATTTAAGGGGCAGTTTAAAAACGGGGCATTCTGTACTCGCCTGTAAAGACCGAACTAGAATCTTCTTTTTTCTTTTTCTTTTTAGAATGAAAAAATTGTCGAAGAATAATAATAAATGTAACGGCATTTTTATTATTTCTCGGCAGTCAACAACATGGAAATATTTGTGTTTATTGAAGCATAAATTTATAAGGAGTTATCGCATTCCGCCAGGTGTCCTCTCATGGTGTAAGTGGTAGCTGCTACGGTCGGCAAAATGAAGGTCGATGGTTAGAATCTCTTTTGGGATGCAATGGATTATTTACGTTTCCCGGTTCATAAAAACCTACCATCTTTACAAATTCAAAGTTCTTGTCTTGGAGAAATAAAGTAGTACTAATTTGAATTCTTTTCTTCAAATGTATTATTGATGTATCAAAACATTAAAACCTCTGTTGCATTACCAGGTGATACAACTCGAGTAATGAATTGGAACTGTATTATACTTTGATACATAAAGGAAAACTAAGTCAAAAACAAGAATGTTTTATTTCATCCAACGCAAAGTGTGTCCTTACCCATTGATTTCAAGTTGCACTCCGTGAGACACACTGCGATTGGACAGGTCATACTGGCAATGAACGGATAGTCCTAAATCCTGGTTGGTCACAATCATGTCGTGATGCTGGATCACGATATCGTTGGAAAATTCTCCGAAGCTCTAAAATGAAAACAACAACAACAAAAAAAAATTCTTAGGTTTTTCTTATTTCATGATATCGTAACATGGTACAATTACATTTGGGTGTGACAAAGAAAAGTTAATGTGGAAAATTTCAGTTTGAAGAAATGGAAATTATGTCTTTTTAATTGCGTAAGCTTTAATTGCTCTTTTAAGAATAGAATAATACTAATAAGCAATTTCTGGATATTTTAAAGTTTAATTTTAATTAATTAGCAATTTTAGGTTAAATTAAAAATTAAGCAAATTTTAATTTTAGGTTGTTTTTTAATTTCAAAGAAATGCTTTATGTGTTTCCGTTTCTCTTCTTCAAAGAGAAATTATTTTGAGTTATTAAGCCAATTTTTATGGCTTGAATAAGATGAAAATGACAATACATAAATAAAATATGTTGCATGCCGTGTCGTGTCGACCAAATCAAAACAAATTGAACAAAATAGTTGGGAAATTACACTTTTAATCACTTTCAGAAGAATAAGATTGAGATTAAAATCGTTAAATGAATTTTACTAAATTTTAAAATTGTCAAGCTTTTCTTACATCTGTTAATACAGAGTAAACGGAAATTTGATAAGCGGGAAAAATAATTTCAACATTTAACTTTTCCCACAGACGGTTCGGACAAGGGAAGACTGGATTAAATTACACAATCTACATGATAATCGATTCATGATTTTTTTTTTAAATATTTTAAATTCAGTTTTAAGATATAAGTTTTTATTTTGTCTATTCAATAAATCTTTCAATTCTTCTTATAATTCAATAAATCTTTCAAATCTAAAACTTTATCAACTGATTATGGATTAATTATCAAGTCTATAATATTACTTTTTGTATGCAAGGTCTGGCTAAAATGTTTTAAGATTGACTGAATTTTTTGAACAGCTCTATGAATTTGCAACAAACGGAGCTATGTAGTAAAAAACATTATGATTCTAGTCTGCTAATCGCATTAGAATGAGTTGAGTTGTTAAGGAGAAAATAACCGTTTGGTGTTTGAATGTTATTTATGCTTGCAATGCATTCGTATTTGGAACAGCGATGTGCGATAAAATTTTGTTTTAAAAGTGGCAAAAATGCTAACGAGACTTATGATGATGCAGAATGCTTACGCTGAAGAGTGTTTGTCGAGTTCTAACGTGTTTTTGTGGTTTAGTTGATTTCGAGATGGTAGACATGACGTAAAAGATGACGAAAGAATGGGATGCTCTTCACAAGCAAAACTGGCCCGAACATCGAAGCTGTCCGTGCTGTGTTAAATCAAGATCGTCGACTAACGATTAGAATGCTCGCAGAACATTTAAACATAGATAAAGATACTGTCCGTAGAATAACTGGGGAGGATTTAGAAGAAAAGGAAATTGTGTGCATGTTTTGTTCCGCATTCATTAGCAACAGAACAAAAGGATGATTAAATAGCGGCTTGTCAGAATGTTCTTGATATGCGAAATCGCTATCAGACTTTAAAAATTAAAAAAAATCATCACAGTTGATGAATAGTGGTGCTTCGTCTACGATCGAGAAACGAAGAGACAAGAGTACAGAGTGGGTTGGCCAAAACTCGCCAAAGAAGCTCGTTTCCCAAAATCCAGGTGAAGACAATATTAGTGGTTTCTTTTTGATTGCAAAAGACAGATTCACTAGGGGTTCGTCCCTGAAGGAAAAATAGTGAATGCGGTGTTTTACATGGATGTATTGGATCGACTATTGAGACGTATCGCACGTTGCGTCCGAACTTCCATACAAACAAAAAGTGATTTTTGCTAACGCTCCGTCCCACAATACAGCTGTTATTCGTTCGTTTTTGGCAAAACATTCCCATTCCCCAAAACTTATCACCACCAGATTGCTTTTTACTTTCCAAAACTGAAATTAAAGCTGAAGACCATCGATTTGACGATATCAAGACCATCCAACAAAATTTTGCTAAGGAGCTAAGAGGCATTCCAGTAGAAAACTCCCTGCACGCTATGAAACGGCTTGCAGATCGGGCCAACCGATGTAAAATTTAAGAGTTATATGTAGAATCATTGGTAAAAAAATATTTTTTTTTTTTTTTTAACTGCGTTCTTTTTTTTTTTTTTTTTTTTTTTTTTAATCAGTTCTAAAACGTTTTAACCAGACTGTATGCTTCTTTTGTATCTTCTTAAAAATAAAATACAATGGTTATGATGAAGTTTCGTAGTGTGTATGGACCCATACATCGTGTCCACACAAGTCCTTAACTGGCCTTTATGTTCACAAAAAGCCGTATACAAACTGAAAAGCGAATTAGTTGCATTTGTAAGCAACTAAAAATAAAATATCGTTAAAAAATGGTTTCTGATGCTAAGAGATTATATGACGAGCATTTCTATGCAGATTAATCAATATATATATATACATATTAAAGAGATTTTATTTGCAATATCTTATAGAATTTGTGTTCTTTGAAAACACTGGCGGGCTTCAGTGTTGGCATGTAGGCAGCTCGTAATATTATTTGCATTCATTGCAAATGAAAAAATACTTAAATTAATTTTTTATGATTACCAAAGTGTGATTCTAAAGTAATAAAACTATGAGAATATTGATAATATATTTTTAGACTTTGAAACCTGATAAATTACTTGTCTGAAAATTTTTCGGTATACCAAATTTTGGCAAACACAATTATTAGTAAAGACACTAGAAATATCACACAAAAGTATCATTGAATAACATTTAAGGGAAAAAAATCAATCTCAAGTTATTCTAATTTATTTATTAACCGACCCCCTCCATGCAAATTCAAAATCATATCAAATATTGCAAACATTGAAATTAAATATTTCAATTTTTGTAGTTCGGAAGTCAAATGTTTTATATTTTCCTTTTTATAACGAGTGCAAAACATTTTGAAATATAAGTTTTGGGAATGGAGGAACGTTTAAAGACATATGTTTCGTGCTTTATAAAAAATTAATATTTAAAAATTTAAAAATAAGAAAATATGAATATGATTTTATATGAATATGAAAAAAATTAAAAATCTGAATCTTTGTATCATTTGAAACGTTCTGTATTTGCAAGCCTATGTCTACGACCAGTGGTTGCGAAGGACGGTTGAGGAATTTTGTTGACATAGTGTATATTTATATACATACACACGATATGCTCTTTATATTGTACTTCTTAATATATACTTCTTAATATTTTTCTTTTTATACCATTCTGCGTTCAAAAACAAAACGCAGACATAAAATCCGGAGTTTTAAAAATCGAAATTCTTTTTCAATGAAGTTTTAATTTCATAAAAAAAAAATACTTCTTTTGAGTTGGCAACAGTCAAAATTAATTTGATTTCAGAAGAGAAATGAAAAATTTGTATGATGGTTCTTATAATTTAAAGTTATTCTATACATTTTGAATTTTTTTTTTTTTTTACTTTAAACTTTTTAACGGTAAATTCATTTTTGGAATGTTCATTATAATTTGTCCCTCCTCCAATATACTTTAAGATCTTAATATTCCATTTCATAAACTTTGAGAACAATAATTACAAAAGCCATTTTAAATTCGTGCGTGCTTTTTACTGTAAATCAACCGAAGATAAAATTTTAAATTCTAAATATTTTTTTAATGTTTCTTCAGAATCATGCAAAAGATTTTATAAAACAATGAAAAAGGAAAAGATTTATTTTAAAAAGGGGGGGGAGGGAATGAAGGAATTATTCATCAATCGGAATTAACCTGTTCTTTGAATGATCGTCTGGCTTAGAATTCCTTAGGGTCACGTGAGTTTGATTGATTGAGTTGAGGACTAAACTCAAATGACCCAATTTAGAATAAACGGTCACCTGAAACTAAAACTTCGAACAACAGAAAACAAAGGTAAATTGAGCAGATTGTTATTAAAAAAAAAGACATGAAATAGCAATCAACTGCCTTGTCGTCTTTGTATATGTACAATATCAGAAATGTTATGACATGTGTTTTTATCCTTTTTTAAATGTGAATAAACAACTAGATAAAAACAAAAACAGATTAATCCCGTGCAGAATTCTAGCGGAACAAGTTGAGAGAAAGATTGAAATGGGAGAACTCTTTTTTTTTTTTTTTTTTTTTTCCCGACCCGCATTGCGGAATATATGGATGGCAGCATCTTTTATCATTACCTCTTGTTTGACGTCGCAGTTAAGGTCATGATAGGCCATCTTGATCTCGAAGTCGACGCTGTTAGCGACATCGGCGACGCAGGAGTTGGGCCGGGATTTAGCGTAGATTCTACCATTGAATACTTTGCTTGTCTTAACCTTAGCAATCATCTCCCGAGCTTTGCACTGGATAGTCACTGCAAAAACGAAAATTAAACAAATTTCAGCATTTAGTTTGCAGAAGCTAAAGATACAACACGATAGTAATTAAAAAGCGAATAGTATAATACTAATAATAAAATTGAAAGATTTCAGGTTACTATCTAACACCTCAAAGAAGCGGTGCTTTTTAACTCGATTAAAAATAAAAAAGAATTTCAAAAATAGCGCAATTTGATCTTTATATTTCGTTCTATCTTTTTACAGTACATTCTATCATGTAAATTTACTGCTACTGAAGACCGAGATAAACTTTCAGTAGAGTAATTGACACTTGCAATCAAATTATTATATAAGCTAATAAAAAAGAAAAAAAATAATAAAATGTAAGAGGGGAGTCTAGTTAGTGTGATTTCATAAAAATATTTAATATTTCTAATTAGGTATCTCACGATTCAAATGCATTTTTATATAAATCAATCAGCTTGAAAAGTAGAACAAATGTTCTTCAGAATTGCGGTTATTATTTTTAAGTAGCTTGTAACAGAGAGGTTAAGTCTGAAAGATATGCTTTCCGAACGGCTACGGGTTGGAGGGTCGAAGATAAAAGTATTTAATTTCCGCCAGTGGCAACACCTTTTAAATCGTTGAATTTGTTAAACAAAAACTCATTAATTTCGTACAAGGTATGAAAACAAACAAACAAATAAATAAATAAATAATAAAAACAAATTCTAAATCGGATTTCGAGATGCCCATGTTCGAGGACTAACTACGTGTATTTAAATTTGGTGGCTCTAAGTGCCTTCGTTCTTACCTCATAAATACCTGCACATTCTTCATAATTTAGTAATAGGGACTAGAAATTTACGCGTAAAATCTGGAAAAACTATTTCCCGTAGGTGACGTTGTAGAGACATTAGGATTTTTTGGAAGCCAGAGAGATGAAAATTAGCAACCGCCTTCGCCGGAAATCGAACCGCGGACCTCTGGAATACCGGCCCAGCGTGCTACCGTTACACCACGAAGGCACGCTAGGGAAGTGGGAGAAATACCTTATAAAGTAACAACAATTTCTGTTTTTCCAGGACTCAAAATCTGAAATTCGTTTACTAGAAGCAATAATACCAAACTTCCGGTATTAATATTTTGCACATACATGTACAACTCTTGACACGCACTGTGACTTTTACAATTACAATTCTTTTTTGCAATTTATTACAGTTTTTTTCGTTGAGACAATATTTAAAAAGCTACGTTCACGTGCCAGAAAAAAAGTATACAGCATAATTTATACGTAATTAATACGCAATTTACACGTGTTAATTGCGCTAACATAACATTAAGCGCGCATTAAAAATTAAAGTTCCTTTTCAAGGAAAAAAGAATTTGAGACAGATTTACATACAAAGAGCGAGACACAGACACGCAAAGAAAATACTCGGGCAAAACTGACTAGAAAACTTTAATAGCCGTTATCTCATCTCATTCAACACAACAGCAATCTAAATGTTCTTCGCTTGTTTCCTAATTACCCTTTCTCTTCCCATCTGATCCGCGAAACTGACTAACCATTATAACCGACTATTAACATTTATTGAAGTGACAGCTCTTTACTAATGTGAAGAAGCATATTATAACGAAGGCATTATCTACAGAGGGTTTCACACCCAAACTTCATTAGCGGTTGTTGGGCCAATAAAAGAAAACGTCCCACAACAAGGAATGGTGAGATCTCGCCTTCACCAGACCGTGGAAGGGGTCAGGTGGCTGTTTGTCCTCACTTTTCCTTCTCTCGTGGATCCTCCCTTGTACAGATAATCAACTCTTGACCCATAACATTTGTTTTAGCCGCCGGACACTTTGTAGCGTTTATGTTCAACTTGTAAGGAAGGTATTGTCTGCAATGACCTCATTAGGCAATACCTGTGATGCTTGCCGACCTTCACGAGTTTGGAAGCGCCCCTGGTAATGGAATTTACCGCCTCGCGTGTTTGGAGGCTTCTGGGAACGATTCGGCTTTCTTTCGGAGCTAGAGGAAAAAACTGCAATCCATACAGTTCTTCCTTTGGGAAGCTTCATAACGGTGCTTCACACGCGGGAAACTTAAAAAAGGTGCTGAAAAAGGTTTTTTCGAATTTCACATCCTTCGCCAAAGATGCGAGGGTGCTGTATTAAAAAACTGTTTCATCCTTCTAGCATGCCTTCGTAGTGTAACGGTAGCACAGTCGGCGCGGATTCCAGAGGTCCAGGTTTGAGTTCCAGCGAGGGGCAATGCACATTTCTTCCGCTTCAAAACAACCTAATGATTCTACAGTGGCGACTTATCCGAACAAAAAGGTGGTGGGCAATAATTCGTCACCACCAGAATTCGGTGATTGGGTCCCCTAACCTTCAGTGGCTCTTTAAAAAGGGGAGCATATAAGGTATATTCTCCCTCCTTCCAGCATTCCTTCATGGTGTAATGGTAGCACACTCGGCGCATATTGGAGAGGTTCAGGTTCGAGTCCCGGCGATGTCATTGCACTTTTTTCAGGCCTCCTTCTTCAAAACAATCTAATGACTCAACAATTTTCTCTCGTGTTTAACTGGAAACTTCACAGAATACATTGAATTCTTTAAACACAGCCAGCACGAATAATATTGTTCGACAATCGCGTTCACAATGAGCTTCAATCAACAAATGAAATTCTGTGTTCAGATGTGATTTTTTATTCTTTAAAAGTTAGCTAGCACGATTAAAATCTTGACTAATTCTTCATTAAGATGTTGAGAACCCTGGTGTTAGTTTCGAGGAGTTTGTTAGTGCAGATGTTGTCGCGTGTACTCCAGCGAAATCAGTTGCGTCTGAGGTGCAAGAAGTATCATCAGATGAAAGTGAGGAGGACAGTATCATTCTTTCAACCCGCTAGGAAGTGTTATATGCTGCCTTTCAAGAGGAGGAGAATATAAGGAATCTTCTTCTTTATTTCGTGCCTTTGTGTTGTAACTGAAAGGACGTACAGCTGGCAATCAGAAGTCTCAATTTTGAATAGCGGAGAGGGCATCGCTGATTTTTCGCCTACTCTAAAAATTTCGCATTATAGAAATTATAACTTATGCTAGATGGATTACAGGAAATAGAAGGTATAAATTGTAGAATTCTTGTAGATTTCCAAAGGAAGGAACACAATAACACCTCTTTCGTTAACTTCCAACCAACCTATAAGTAAGGAAGGTAATGTTTTCAATTAAAATTTCGACAATGAATTTTCAGTGAATAAGCACGAATTAGGTCCACACAATACATTTTGACAACGATGTCTGTCTGTCTGTACGTGTATGACGATATTTTTTCGTCCACATAACTCCCACACCAAACTTCCAAAAAATTTCTGTTTCAGGTATTTAAGCTTTCTGCAGTTATATTAAAAGTTGACTAAATTTTGGGTATAACTGGACATCCGAAAGCGGTATTTTACTGGAAATACGAGTTTTTAATGAAAAAATACATTGAATTATAATTCAAGGCTTTAAGTTTAGTAATGGAAACAACCTAGCGGAAAGGAGATTTTACTTGAAGCTCTGAACAGAATTTCGTGAAAATTCAACTCTTTCAATAAAATTTAAAAAAAAAAGTTTTTAATTAAAGCAATGAATAAAGGGCCAAATATTTGGTTACAATGATATAAATTTTAACAAACAGTTTTTACACATAGCCCATTATACCTAAAAATATACAATACAAAATTTCGGACTGCAGACCTTTCCATTTACTGTATTCCTACGCGTTTCCCCTCCTTTTTTTTACTGAGTTTTTCATCCGGAAATCGAGAAGGGAAAACTATGCGAATCATTTAATTTCCGAAAGACGCAGTTATAGTAAGACCATATCAAATGAAAAAGTAGTCATGGATAAACTACAGGTAAAATTACCCCAATATTTTGTTATCACAATATTATATTACGTTTAAATAAAAATAGAGTCATATTAACATTGCAGTATCTAATAAAAATATCTGCATTTCTACTTCCCCGTAACTTGAATCTCGTCCTTTTTTACTGTTGTCTCTGCTACTCCTTAGGCCTTGAATCATCCATAAATAATTATAGAAGGTAAATGTGCAGCAGATTCGGCAAACTCCTAGACCGAATTTCCAGTTTGTTTTGCTTCGCTGCGATGATATTTGGTTCTTGTGTCAGGCTGGAATAAAGTCGAGCAGTTATAAGGGAAAGGTTCGGCGTGACCTTCGCAGGCAGTTACTTAAAGCTCATTGCTGTTTAAAAAATATGATTGGCGGGAGGTCATGTACTAGCCTGCTGGCCATTTCAATTTTTTTAACCTTATATCAAGGGAAGTAATAAAGTTAGCTTAAGCTTTAAAACTCAATACGCATTTGAAATGGAAACACAATCCCAAATATCAATATTTTACTCATTAAATTAATACATTTAGTCAGTCACTTTAACCAAGAGTGTTCTTCGGAGCTTATAATTTTCATTCTTAAAAGTTGTAGAGTCATTACGTTATTTTGAAGCAGAAGACATGAAAAATGACCAATGCTCTCAATGAGACTCGAACCTGGACCTCTCGAACACGCGTAAAGTGTGTTGTCGTTACGAAGGCATCCGGAAAGGGAGGGAGAAAATACCTTTTAAGTTCATTCACATAAAAAGACCGAAAATTGTTTTCATGAGACTGGTTAAAAACTGTTTACTTAAAACTATCAAAATACGAAAATGAATTAGGGGTGAAAAAAGAAAGGAAAATTGGGAAAATGAACTTTCGTGTGTAATGAATTCCACATTAAAGCCCAGCCGATTCATTAAGCCCTCAAAAGAGAGTGAACGGGTACAAAAAGGTAACGTTTTCATTCAATAGGCCCACTATGGAGAATCATCACGCGAACATTCATTGTGTTCTCATACCCTGTTCCCATACCCTTTTGGAACATACATGTTCCAAAAGCTATTTTCGGGGAATGACATATAAATTAAAGTTGTTTTTAATGTCATTCCTGTTCCAATGTCTCCTGTCAACATAACAATGCATCGTGAA